ATCCACCGTTTTCTTCGAGCCCGCATTAAACTTTTCCCTATACACGTATATACGAATGTAAACGGGAACAGTAAAACGCGATCTTCGCAAGAATACACAAATAAATTCTCAGTTTTTTGTTGCAAATCAGTTCGAATACAAGGGGCGTAAATTACCAAAGTGTATAATGTTTCTTTGAAATACCAGCAGAAATCCCTTCTGTACGCATTTGAATTCAATTAATATACGCGTTATTAATGCATTTACATGCGATATTACATTCATGAAATATTTTATTACGAATTGAAGATCAAAATTGTTTCACTTGTCATATGCGACTATGCGATTTGTTGAGGCTGTTCCAGGAAACATGTATTGCACGCCAACGCGTAGGCGGTACGGGTCTGGCAGAGACGAGGGAGATGGACCTGGGCGGATGGGACGATTGAGCACGATGAGATCGTGAGGTCAGTAGCCTCGCAGAGCTGCGTCCCGTTCTTGCGAGCTCGATGAAAATTTCGAATCTGAATATGTATTTTCTAAAGGGACGCCGAGGTAGGCAAATCTGATCATTTGAGTCTCGTTGGTAAATTAATTTACGACCTCCATTGTTACCACGAGGATATAGCTTCCATTAGTGGAACATTGGGCGTCGACAATTTACAACCTGGCGAGCGAGGTTTATGCCGTCCGCTGGCAGGGTGAAAATAGCCACGAACAACAGAATGTCAGATGTGACATGCTGCCGCTATAAGCTCCCATTATGACTTTCCTTATCCGGCACGTTGCGAAAGGAGGAATAATTCACGCAGTCGATAAATGAAAGCTGAAGCTCTTGAAGAATTTTCGTGAGAGTCCGGCCTAGCCTGCCGCTCTAAACAATCCAGTAGCCAGGTGTCCCTATGATAGGTCGGCACATGAACATGCTGAGGTGCGCGTTGCCGAACCCCCGCCCATGTCACCCCTCGCCAGGTGTAAGAGTTTTTTTCCCTTCCCCTCAGGGGTTGCTGTCGGTCGAGGGGAAGGAATGGTGCCAGAGCGGCGAGGCGCAGCCCAATTGCTGAGAAGTTCTCAATGGCGTCAGCAAGAGTAGTACGGAAACGAGTAGCTGCACTCGCTCTAGTGTTCGTAAATGCCTTTGCCATAACAGTTTATTGTTTCTCGGTCTCGCATGCGTTCGATCTTTTTGCGACAATAGATTTCAGTTTAATGAATCTGATAATAAAACAGCTATCAGATATGTAACAATTTCAAGAAATCAGTCCTCTTCTTGTAGCACCAGAGCAACTCGTAAACCGTGTGCAGTGTCTGCGCTTGCCATAAAAATATACGAAAATCAAAATGTAACAATTAGTAATACTTATCGTATGATCTTACTGAATTGTAATAGAAAAAGCCGCATTAACCAGTGGAAAAATACATTACGTGACAAAATCAAATACATTGTGCAGAAGTTTTATTGCTGCACTACGTCAGAGTATGTAAAATTAAATAAAAGTTATTTCAATAATGATCACAATTTGCATTGACAGCGCTTGTATCTAAGATGATGAACTAAAGCGAATTATTAACACTCTTTACACAGCAACCATGATTTATTTATTAACACTCATGTATATATAAACAAAACTTAAAATGCCAATGTTTTATCGCTAATTCTTAAATGGGTCATTACAAAGTGTCTTGCTTAACGACGAGCTGACGCGTTTTAAGGTCACGGCAGTGTCCTCTTGCATCAGGTGGCATAAGTTTTAGAATCGTATAATTATAATAACATGATGATGAATGTTTGATCAAACTGTAAATAGCAATAAAAATAACTAATTACTGTGTTCTAACGTTATATAAACACTTTCTAATTAAATTTCTTAACATGAGAGAGAAAAAGATCGATGACTTTTTACATCAAAATCGCACGAATGAGAAAGCGATCGAAGTGTAAAAACGTCATTAATGGCGAAGTGAATTAATTCATCATCCATTCATATTAAAAACTCTTAATGCACAATTTAAACTAAATAAGGAATTGAGACCCATTGCACCAAACAGAAGCAAAATTTAATTCTCGACCATACCCGCGAAGAAAACTGCCGTTAATGATAGTATATGACCACCAACACTTTGGGTAAGAGTAAGGCACGCTGAAGGCTGATCCCACAGTTTAATACGCAGTTAAACTATATCCAAGTATAGATTGTGTAAAAGTTTGTAAATACCTTCGTTATTTATCTGGAGATATCGTTGTCTATAAAAAATTGTGGGATATTATTGAAATATTTATTTAACTCAGATACTAGAAGCCAGTGCGATGAATCTCAAATAATTATGTTAAAAGTAGTAGAAAGTTGTAAGATTGGAAAGTAGATGTAGATTTATAAGACATTTTCATTATTTAATTAACACGAGTGTTAGTAATGTTAACGCTGGGAAGATGTTTTAAAATATTGGCATTTTCTTCCAGGCTAGTGTAGCGCCTCACGTCACGCCAGTTTTCGAATCCCCAATTCGCCCACTCCAAATACTGCTCGCGCTTTCGGCCGTTGGGCGTGTAGAGCCACTGCCTGCGCCCGAATCTCGCAGGGCGTTGATGCATCGAAGGATTACACCTTGTCTGCGAATTCAGCAGAATGCGGTCCGCGGCTCACCAGCAAGTAGCAGCAGGCGATGGTTCTGCACACGAGACCTAGCGAGAGCTGCAAGACGTCGAGAATGGTGGCCGGCTTCTAGGCCCAGCCTCACCAGAGGACCTGGCAGTCGCCTCCGCACGCACGAACAGCGCTGGCGCCTGCGCGCCGCCCGACACTTTCTTCTTCTCTTCTTCCTGCGCGGACCTAACGAACCGTCAGAAGAGCCCTCTTTCTTCTCTCTAATACTTCGTTGTAACTGTATTTTAGATTAATGTTTTTATATATATTATATTTTATTTCGCGTTATATATAAATATTTATATGATAATTTAATTATATCATATTATTTGTATAATTTTATATTCTCATATATTGATTATTATTTTCATTATTATATATTATTTTATTATATTATATTATATTATTATTGATTATTACCAAGTAATTGATTACTTATTTTGAGTTTGTCGACTAGTTTCTTCAAAGAATACTCTTATCGTTCGATTATACAAGATTCTAATGCTACATTGTGAAGCTTCGATTACAATTCTCAATTACAATAAACTGCGCTGTTCGACACGCAACGAGGCCTACATGTAAATGAAACGCTTGGATCATGGTTCTCAATGGCGTGCACACAACAATGACCAGATGGCCGCCCACTGAAATTTTTAAAGGGTAGCCCCACAGTCTTAAATGTATTGAAAATGTTTATTTTCTTGAATATGTTCGAAAATCCCTGATTTCCCGTCTTTTTAACGTGTCCATTGGGAAACTGTTATACGAAGCAGGTTCCCAAAGGGCACCCCAGTAAATTATACATAAATAATTCATTTATATTATTGTATTTCATTTATGTATATTATTTATTTTTGTTATTTTGTGTTTTATTTTTATTTAATTTATTTGTTTTATTCTTTTGTTTCTTATTGTATTGTTATTTATTTATCTATTTATATTTATATTATTTTCTGTTATTATTATATTTTATGTATTTATTGTATTTAGTTGATTTATTTCCATTGATAGCGTACTCAATTCATTTCCTGTTGTATTTACGTTATTGGTTTATTTGTTTATTATTGTTATATTTACTTATTTATTTATTATCAAATATGTGTACTGTATAAAGTAAAAAAGCGTGAATGGCAAATGAGCAGAAAAAGTACGTGTGTCCACCCTTTTTTTACTTTAGTCTGCACACGGCCTATTCTTCATTAAACCTTATCCTAAACTGCAATGATCTTCTGCATGCGCTCCAGCGAGCCCTTACCCGTGGATCCCCGGCCCTTCCAGCTCCCATCCGTCTCGCCACCGCGAAGACGCGCCATGCAGCGCGGTCCTCGTTCGAAACGACCACGCCGTTTCATGCCGCGCCGGGCGCCTCCAGCATAACGCGCGCCTGAGAACGGGCTGCCCCGGCGCATCAGCCAGCGCCACGGGCCCGGCAGCACCCTGCGCCCCCGCGACAGACGCCACCCACGGCCGTGCCAACTAGAGTCGTTGCGTTTGATATTCGAAGCTTCCGTGGCTGGAGAGAAAATCTGAGAACTGACTGCAGATGGATCGGTAGTTTTCTGTTGGTTTCTCCGATCAACACAGCGAATGCTAGAGCGTATGGCCTAACCCAAAACGGGCAACGAAAACGCGCGGTGTCTCCCTTCGCGCAATTCCGTGTCATATTCTCACCCCCGTGATGTTATTATTATTTTGATGTTTGTACTGATATTCTTCAAAAATACTCTTATCGTCGGATTATACAAGATTTCTAATTGCTACTTGTGACTTCATTACAATTCTTCATTACAATAAACGGCTTTACAGAACGAAGAGTGCTACATTTAAATGAAAACGCTTGATCACTGTTCTCAATGGCGTGCACACACAAGTGACCAGATGGGCCGCCCACTGAAATTTTTAAAGGGTGCCCCACAGTCTTAAATATTAAAATGTTTTATTTACTTAATATGTTCAATCCCTGATTTTCCCGTCTTTTAACGTGTCCATTTGGGAATCTGTTATACGAAGAGGTTCCCAAGAGGCACCCCAGTAAATTATACATAAAATCAATTACATTTATGTATTTATTTTGTATTTATTTA